TTTTCTGACGGCCGACCGTCAGTGCGCGGAGTTGCCCCTTCTCGGCGGCCGCCACCTCTTCCGCTTGCCTCAGTCCACACTTTGTGAGTGGTGGGTTGTTGCCGTAGAGCGCGTCAGAGAAGCAGGGACATTCGCCCTGGTAGCAGCGCGAACGAGAAGGACACGGAGGGTAGGAGGAGAACTTGTCGCCGTGCCGCACGAGGAAGATGACCTGCAGGCCTCTTGGCGCTGCGGGTGCGCTCGCACCATCCACGCCTGTGCAGGGGCTGCGCAACGCTGCCCAGAAGGGCGAAGGAAAGAGCAGCAGGACGCACGCACATGGGACGAGCTGCCACACGTGCAGGCTGTGATGGCACGCGTTGGTGATGGCGCTCGGTTGTGGTGATATCTAGATATCATGGCGGCCGTGTCCCGGGTGGAGCTGCTGCCGCTGTCGCTGCTCTCCATCGGTGAGTGAGAGCAAATGACCACCGAGAGAGGACACCACCGAGAGAGGGCAAGGCCCGATCCCGCACCTGCCTCGGCCTATTGGTGTGGTTGGTGCACAGACAAAAAGCAGAGGACTTTTATCAAAGTCGTCGCAGTTCATACTCCGGAGTATCAAAATTGGCCGTCAAAACCGCACCAAAGTGGCAGTCGACGCGCGCACATTTGATTGCCACAAAAGCGCATAACTGATTCTGGGGTCTGGTGTCCCGGGACCTGCCCCTCTGCCGACAGTGTGCAGAAACGCACTTCGATCCCTTCCCGATCTCTTCGGTATTGCCGAAGGCGTAGGAGTGGCCAACGGAGGCGGGCGTGCCGCCACTCGAGGCGTTGCCAACGCCCGCCGAGGAGGTCTTGAGGAGGGGCGTCCAGAGCTTGACTTCATTCACCTCATCGCATCCTCCCGGGCCAGCGTGGGGTTCCGCGAGGTCGACCTTGTACCCCTCGTTGTACTGCCGGGTGAGCTCTGTTTTCTCCTTGTCACCGTGCACGACCGGCGCGTTGGCCGGGGCGCGCATCGCGTCCGCCCAGGCGGCGAGGACGCCGTCGTGGGGCCGCCGGTGGTGGGCCTTGTTGTAAAGGTAGTCGCCGAAGAAATCGACTGGCATGCCCCGCTCGAGCGCGACCCGAAGGGTGGGAAGCGCCACGGAGAGCCAAAGGCCGAGCTTCCGCTGGAGCTCGTCCTGGAGGGCGTCGGAGGAGAGGGCGGTGGCGTACGTGCCGTCGACACGGGGACATCGAGGGCTTTGCCGGCGAAAGGCGTTGAGGCGGAGACGAAGCGCGAGGCTTCGCGGTTGTTGACGGCGCTGTCTCCGAGGGACGGGTTGTTCTTGACGTGCACGTCCCGCGCCTTGACGAGCTCCTGGTGCGCGTACCAGTCCTTGTGATTCTTGATGGCAGCGAGCGCCCGCGGCCGCGGGTACGTGGATTTGCAAGTGCCATTGAGAATCGCGTCGGTAGCTGGAAGGGACTCGGGCTCGGGGAGCGGGACGCTCTTGGGGTAGAACTCAGTCAGGTAGCCGCCGCGGACGGTGTGGTACTTGGTTTTGTCGCGGGCGGCGCGCTTCTCGCACACCTCCTTCCAGTCCGAGAGGGCGGACTCGTAGGTGGCGATGGCTGCGGCGATGGTGGGGTACTTTGTTTTGAAGTTTACCTTACCTTACCTTACGTTACGACTTTGCCCCAAGCGCAAGAATACTTTAGTCTTTACCGGAGGAAGTGCCCGCCGATTGGACCTCGCCCCGGACGTCACCACCCCGCTTGTGGCAAAAACAGGAGACGCATATGCGAGGCGACACAGCCGCACCGCTCTCCACAGTCAGTCACCGCCACACAGCGAGCACCAACGCCGCCCATGTGCGTTGCCGACTCACCTTCGGACTTGCCGACTCCTCCCGCGTAAAGCCGTAAAGTACACGGAGGCGAGGAGACCGAGCACCGCGCCCTGGTCCGAGGGTTTCGACGTGGGCGGCAGGCCGTCGTCACCGTAGCCCTGCTCCCAGGAGCAGGACACGAGGCAATGTTCGTCCCTGGCTCGCTTCCCCCCCAACCCCCAGTTCTATCCCCCAGTTCCAGCCCCCTCCAATCCCCAGTGTCGCCACGTACCTGCGCAGAAACCCGTATGCGCTGTGATCGGTTCCCGATCCATCCCGCTCGCCGTGCCGCATGAGAGCTACATGGAGAAGCCGGACGTCTTGGCGTGCCGCCGATCGCTGTCGGTGAAGCTGTTCGGCGCCTATAAACGGTGAAGCCTCCAGCGTGAGGGGCTGCAGAGGGGAGCAGAGGGGCGCACATGGGAGCAGAGGGTAGTGGCCGGTGGAGGCTCCCAATGCAATCTCGACTCGGGCAATCTCGGGAAATCTCGGGGAGTCAAAGGTCATCTCGCACCTTCCACTCGGGCGCATCGGACGGCGGCGCCGCCTGGGTTTGATTCTTCCCGCCGCCTCCGCATAGGATGCGGCGCAGCACCTAGAAACAGAAGTCTCCTCCGCGTCCACTCCTTGTTCTCGGCGCCT